ACGCTCAATCATTCCTGTGTTGAGTTATCTTTATTCATAAGTGACATAAATATGCAAGAAGACATGATGGTCCATTGAATATTTTAAATAATTTCCCAGATTCTACAAACAAAAGCAATTTTAAAAGCAGCAAAAATGAATAGAACGCTGATGAATTAAATGAATTAAAATTAGAAGCCATTCATAAGGGTCCATTAAAAGCTAAGCAGAAGTACAATGTTCCAGACCAGAGGATCACATCTGCAAACAAGGTTACAGCTCTTAACCTGAAATCATCAACTGCTATCCCTCTCTTAAGGGCCCTTGAAGTGACAAAACTACTACTAGTTAAAGTGACTATTACTTCAACAAACAGTTTTTAAAATATCATTAAAAAAAGAAAAGAGCCACAGGAGAGAAAGCCACGGCTCTCAAAGTGAACATCAGCATGGTGGCCATATGAAAATGATCGCGTCTGATACAAGACACGACCCGTACGGACTCCCACATCTCACTACGGCTCTCCTCCCACAAACACCCGTGCACATGCTCGACGCCACGCTGTGAGAACTTGCGGTGACTGCATGGCTCCGCACTGTAGGAGCACAGCTAAAGACCAGGCGACTGCAGGATCGACCTGTTTCACCCGAGCCAAGAGGGAAGCCGAGGAAACAGAAACCCACAGAAATCAAGCGTGTTGTGAAGGTTTAGTTGCATGAAAAAACAAGACTGAACAAAACCAGTGAAGCTCCCCAGCTGCATACAGAACACTACTGTCCCAAAACCTCCACCTCATTCCATGCTGTAACTATGCTATTTAACATTGTTTTAAGCTCAACACCTCTGTATATTTTGTAAAAAGCGCAGGGATACTTGTAACCAATGTGCATCATAAAACACACAGTGAAGTACTACAGCACTCTGCTGCTGTAACTCAGAGAGTTTCAGTGGCCCAAAAGCATGCTCCCCATTAAAAATGTAGGCACTTCACATTGTTTAAAGCACAGCGTGAACAATAACCCACCAAACACGCCTTCACCTCCTTTGCCAATCAAGTCAAGACAGCCAAGTCATGCAAAGAGCCCGCTGATGAGAGCATCTCAACACACCGCTCCACTCAAAGCAGGAAAACGATGCCTTTCGCAATGGGAATCTGACGGACTACTTGCTTGGCAGAGCAGAGCAATGGGAACTCAAATGTGGAAGGTACAATATGAACAACATCAGAAGTCAATATGGTAGAACAAATCAGAAAAAAGAAAGCACATCAGAGCACCACATGCCTGTTTTAGCACGAACTGGTATTTCCAGGACAAATTTTCTGAACCCATTAACTGGGAGAGTGCAAGTTTTGGGGTTTTTCAGATTTTTATTAAGATTAAATTAACTACCGCATGTCAGCTTCACCATCTCGTAAAGACTTCCACAGTTACTCAGCGCAGGGCAATCAGAGAGACCTGACAGCTAAAGCTCTCAGAAATCCGCACCATTCCCACACTGAGCACAAAGCCGATTCCCGTCGGATGACAACAGACACCGAGAGATCAACATCTCGGGAAGGGAGCTGTTGTTCTCCTGGCATCTTTAGTTTCAGCCGTTTCCCTTCTCGTTCCCTAATCCTCAATCATTTCCACTCCTGTAGAGCAGGCAGGTAAACCTCCACCCAAACCACAGAAAACCATCCGCCCACGGTCAGAATGTTTCTGGCTGGCTGTGGATCTCCAAGAGGTCCTCCATACATCAGCGACAGAAAAAAAAAACAAAAACCACAAAAAAATTCAGGTTGCTGCCACATCCACTAAACATGTCTTCCAGCTCCAATTAAAACCTTGAAAGGGAATTTTTAA